CTTCATCATTGATTCGTGAGTTTCTCTGATTTCTTTCTTTAACTCATCCAACCTTCCGTCGAATTCCTCTTCAGCCATGCCCAAAAGAGTACCGATTGACTTAGATCTGAGTGATATCGCACCAGATCGCGAAAAATTGCTCGGAGTGCCGTCAGCCTCACGCGATTCTAGATCTCTTCGCATTTTCTCTAAGGTCGTTTGTCGGTTTTGATGTTCCAAATCTGGTTGCGACGAGCCACCGCCAGAAACATGAGGTTCTGAAATCATTCCTACGTTCTGTGGCCAAACCTCCATATTCATTTCCGAAAGCAATCTTTGTGTTGGTCTGAAACGTTGAAGCAAATTCATCTTGAATGCACTCCAACAAACAAATGGTCGTCTTCTATCCTCCCACTGAACCACTGAAAAGCTTTACCTTCCATGAACTCCTCAATGAACATCACTTTTTCTTGCTCTGAAAATCGATTTTTCAAGAAATATTATTCTACTCTTGCTATCCACGCATCCGGATCTTCTCCAGAAAACATTGGCTTCTCTAATTGCTGCCAACGTCCTAATGTTCCGTCCATCTTCTCCGAATTTCGCCCAAGAAAGTGCTCTGATACCACTTGATAAGATCTAAGGCAATTCTCAAGAAATGAGAAGAATTGAGAAGAGAAAGATGAATCTTTATTGAATGAAAGAATGAATTACAATGCAGTGATTCGAGGTACTGCTAACCTCCCCTTGCTCAGCCTAAGCCAAGACTTCCTCAAACTCCAGTATTTTTCCTCCTCTCCCTCAATTCCCGAACCCCCCTTTTAATATCCCCTGCCTTCTCTAACTAATTCCCTCCCCAACTAAAGTCCACAGTAACTAACTAATAACATCCTTTCTAACAAACTACTAACTTCTCTAACCAATTAACAAGTTCCTATCAGATTACTGAAGTTGTTGAGGAGACTTGAGGCTAAGAATGAAGTCTCTTTTTTACCTGTATTCAAAGATCGAAGCCTCTTTCTATTGTTGGCCTCTGCTGCCTGAAAGGCTATTTCTACATGAATGGCCAAAAGCTTATCTAATTCTTATTTGATTTCGTTAAGATGTCTTTCTTTCTTCTTCATTAATCATTCATGAACAAAGAAAGGATTTTTATTTTCCTCTCTTATCAAACAACACAACAATTGGGGCTCAGTTACATTCTGAACACACAAAAAAAATGTTGATATAAAAAATAATCATATGTGTCTGTACATCTATAGATATGATATGCGTGTGTATTAATTACATCCTTTGTCATCTCTGAGATGAATTTGTAGATCAACAACCAAGCAAACTATTCCAACGCCTTTTAAGGGCTTCATATGCCTCAGAACAAGGCGTAGCCTGCACTCTAGTTCTTCCATCAGCAGTAGGAGTTTCAGTTGCAAGGCCGAGTCTCAACAACACATTAATCGCTTTATCAACCGCCACCTCAACCTGCGTAAATAGAGGTACACTAACATGAACAATAACCTGCCTGTATTTACTAAATAATTCGTAAGTAATACGTGTTCCATATTGACTGTAAACGGCTTCATTCTTTTACCTTTACTTTAAACACATCGTACATGAATCTCTCACATTTGTCTCCAACACTTCGGCGACATGGGATCTGCAGTCGTGACAAATTATGAACTAATGCTTCAGCTTAGACTTACTATAAAACTTCGGCAATTAGAGTGCCGGGAATACCGAAATGACATATAGAAGCTTGACACTCATATAATCAAAGAGCTACTTCGGAATAGATTTTAAAGATGCAGCAGTCAATAATACAGCAAGTAAAAGTAAAAGCAGGTAGATTGAGATAAGAATAGGAGCAAACCTTGTCCTCCATCTTGAGCAGGATTGCATAGGCCAAAATGGCTTCCTTGTACTGCACACAACATTCCAGGAAATGGAAAATTAGTGGCATAATAATAAATCATTTTAGATGAAATTGATTAAAAGAAGTAGAACGCACATAGGATTCTTACCTGCTGTTGTTCGGAAGCATCGAGGATAAAATGAACTGCGCCAAAGCCACTTGCTAAAGTCTTTTCATAAAGAGTCCTATTGACCAATAGCTGTCGTAGAACATTGCTTCAGTCTTAAAGAAATCTATTTCTGCACTTGAGAAAATCATATCTCATCTCCTAGATGGCAGAGGAAAACATAGTCGACTCACCTGATACCTATCCCAAGTCTGTTTGTAACCAAGAACCACACGAGACACGTAGATTATAAGAGCAGTGATGGCAACCACGTCAAGAAAAATCGCCGAGCTGACACAACACAATACAAAATTGTTAGCAAATGTCTAAAGTATCTCAGTGTTTTTTAAAACAATCTAAAAGTATCCCTTTGACGGGTTACATTTTTAAAAATATAAAGACTACCCTTAATAATCTACATTAAATAAAATAAATTTTAAAACACAAAGATTTCTCAAGGGGTTTGCTTCGTGTTCAATCTTTCAAAATAAAAGGAATACTCTTTTGATTAACAATTTTTGACGGGGGAAAATTATGGTAATATTTTTCCAATTAGAAAATGCATAGACGAATAATAAATGAATAATTACAAAAGGGGAGATCATAATGTTATCACCATGAAAATCAATCAATTATTATGAATGAGATATCTGCAATTTTTTTCCTGTGGCAAAATTTGAAGAGTCAAGCCATCCTGAGAAAGAGACGATACGTACGGAGAGGATAAGACATCTTCGAATTTGTAGTTAATGAAGTATGCCAAAAGCCCCACCATCGTTGCAACGTCCAACCGTACCTACAAGTTTATTACAATCGGTCACAAGGCTAAAGATTTATTTCAAAGGAAAATTATGCTTAACAAAAAAAAAATTAAAAAAAAAAAGCACAACCATTTTTACTTTAGTCAGCAAATGAAGTAATGATAGGGCTCTACAGCCAACTACTTCCTATCTTTTTTCTTCTCTTCTTCTTTTGAAGGGAACTCTATATCCCAGGTTTGAGTTTGCTTATAATTGTCTCAATAAAATTCTAAGCATTCAACTAACTAAACCAGAAAGTCTAAAAATAAGAGAACAGTCTTCATACCGTGTCTATGATGCGAAACGAAAGCTTTTTGTGGGGAAAGACGACCTACAAAGAAACAACTGTGAAAAGTAAATTTCTAAACGAAGCCCGGAATATGAGAAGAGTAAGATAATGAACATAAATACATACTGGTAAATCTGGAATAGGAATTTTTTCGTATATCTTTAACTGCAATGATGGGATGTCAGCTTTGTTTCCAGTGCCCACTTTATCTACTTCCTCGGTGCAGAGCAGAATCAGTTCTTCAAATGCAGGCTCCTAATTTGTAAAGACATTATACATTGACAAGATTGACTGGTTTTCAGTTTTCTCCCAAGACAAACTTTCAAACAATATATCATTTGCAATTGAAAAACGATAATTACTACCCAAAAAACAAAAAAAAACAAAAACCTTGAAGGCCTGGACTGTAATTTCTTTTGGGAAGTAAATGCCACAGAAAAAAATAAAAAAAAAAGTCCTAAAGCACGCCAATATATAATTATGAAATCGGAGATACACAGCATCGAGGTTTTGGCCAAAACTTAAAAGAAAATATACCTATCATTGAAGGCATATTCCAAAATAAGTAATATGGAAATACACACAGAACAGCAACATGTTCTCCTCTGCTGTAAATTAATGGCGCACAAGGACAAAATAGGTCCTTTTTTAAAATAAATATATAAATAAATAAGAAACAAGAAAGTTCATTGATCAAACAAGAGTACAAGAAGTTTCAGGATGGACGAGAGTAAAATGCGCATTTGCTACAGAAAGAGTAACTCAGTAAACCTGGAGGATTGACTGTGAGAGAAGAATAGATACTGAAGTTTTTAACTTTTTCCAAATATCGTTTCCACAGTATTTCCTCGTAGCAGGTCTCCAAATATCACCAAGTGTAATCCTTGATAAAAAAATGCGCCTGAGCCAAAGATAATTATAGTATCATTTCCTCATGTTTGAAGGTAACTGCTTAATATTTTTTTTTCCATTATATTTCACTAAGTTAAGTAGCATATGAAATTTTGGAGAAAGTCGCTTCTTAATCCACACCAAATCCACTATTATTCTCCTAGTTAATTTCTAGGATTGTATTAATCTCACTCTGTTTCCAGAGGAATGGCAATGCTCTATGCACATCCTTTAAACTAGTAGGACTTCATGTAAACAATAAGTTAAAATATACTCGCTTGTATTCCATTTTCCTTTTTTGTTTTGTTTTTCCATGTATAGGAAACTAATAAAGCTGCTAGGTTTTTTTTTTAAGATTATATTTCTTAAATTGCAAGTCAATCCTATACATTGTCTCACAAAATTTTTGTGACCACAAGGTACTAATTAAAAGACATGATGTCTTCAAGTACATAGGTTATTGATGTTAAGTTCAAATCCATTTTAGTTAATAAGATTGATATAACTCCAGCAATTACCTTTTTTTTTTTTTCTGGTAACAAACTCAAGAGATAACCTAACGTAGTCCAAATGACTGCTCTGCTTGTAAAGTTATTTATTTATTTATTTATTTTATACGCCAACGTTAGACAGAATACGCAACATTTAACTGCATTCACCTCAAATCAGTAGTTTTTTCCCCGGCAGCCAAAAAAAAAAAAAAAGAGAGAAAAGAAAAGCCATTATGTATTAGTATAGAAAACAAAAGCCATTATGTATTAGTAATAAAGAAAAAGGTATTGGCCCTAACCCTTTGTAAGGCTCAGAAGCATGAGTATCACCATCAGGCTCGAAAGGTGCTTCTGGGGTTGGGGAAACAAGTCCAATCCAAGTAAGCAACTTTCTTAAGAGTCTTCCACGGGGACCAACTGGTGATAGGAGCCCTTCGTAACGAGAAACAGCCCTTTGGGCTGCAATCCATATTGGAAGATCCTTATCGGACAGTTGGTCTACTCCCAGCATGTCATTACATGTTCCTTCATTCTGCTGAAATGATTGCTGGAAAAGAACTAGCTCCTGAAGCCAAAGCTTCAATCTCTTTGCCCAATCTCCTGATTCTTCTGTTTGAAAAGCATCTCTAAAAGCCTGTACACAATTTACGAAAAAAAAAAAAAAAAGGTTTAGGGATGAAGTCTGAACTTGATATAAGCAACATATTGAGGAAGTGAAGTGAAATGAAGAAAAAGAAGAGAATGACCTCAGTTATCCAGCTGCCAAATTTTCCCAAAGGTTTTGAGATAATGAAGAAGATCCCTCTTAGAAGCCTAGACTGCAAGTAATCCAGCTTTTCGACTATAAGAAGGCCCTTCTGTCTCTCAGCTGCATATCCCCGTCTATGAGATGAATTATGCATGCCAAGTAAGAAGAAAGGTTTTGAAAATGGCATGTTAATTTTATAAGTCATAAAATTTAAGAATTATCAAGTACAATTCTCAAACAGATATATCTTTATATACATGCTTTCTTTGTCTGGCATATTCTTTTTCACCAGATGTACAATTTTTATAGACCACATTCTATGCTTGAAATTGAAAGAAAAAGAGGTGCATTATGAAAAGAATCACCTAAATATTATTGCATTGGATTCAGATGCTCTCTTCCAATCAACATATACTGGTAAAGTAAGGAGATAATCTGTGTTCAAGGCAGATGTCAGCATCAAATCCCTTGCTGACAATTCTTCAAACTGAGCGTCATAAAGAAGTTGCATGAAAGCACGCTGAAAGCGAGTGGCGACAGCAACTCTACTTAAAGAAGAAAAGATAAGAGTAGGATTAACAGAATAGTTTCATTTTATTCTTAATTTCAAAAACAGTAGTTTGTTTTCAATAAACAACATGATTCATAATGTCACATTCTATTAATCTCTTGATTAAAATCTAATGTTTGCCAGGCAGTTCATACACAAAAGCATGCATACGTGTCATGGAACCCATATTTTAAACAAATTCTATAATTTAACCACTAAGCGACTTATATTAAAAGTTTTACCAATTAGAAACAATTGGAGTTTTGGCACAACAAAAAGGGAGCCTAGTCCCACATTGGTCAGGAAGCAAAAGGAAATGAAGTCTGAAGCCTATATAACAGCCCAAAACCTTTGGTTTAAATTGCCTCAGTCAGATTATATTTTACACTTATTTTTGTTTGGCCAGAGTTTATTTTTTGTATCAACTTTAAAATAAGTCACCTACAAGGAAGTGTATTAAGTTCAATTTGGCAGTCTTTAATTAACACAACTAACATGAAAATCAAAAAATGTAATGTTCAAATATAAAATAAAAAACAAAACTACTAGACACTAGTAATTCTCTCTCTCATTTTTCCTTTTTCTATTTTTGGATAATTCTTTTTTTTTTTTTTAAGATTATGGCGGGTATATTCTAATTCTTATTATGTTTTCTTTTTGCAAATATATATATTGGTATTTTTTGACGCTTACACCTCACAATGCCATCTCAAATCCCGATCCCGCCTTTACCTTGGCATAACCAATTAGTTTAGGCCAGGTAAAACGTAGTCTATCTTGTAGTTCCATGGGAAGCATCACATAAAATGTTTTGTGTTAAAGTTAGAAACTTGTGGTTTTCTGACATCGTTAGGGATTAGGCTTCAATATTGTAACAATCTTATTTTTGTTTTATGCTGAGCAAATCAATCTTTGATCTAATTATTAATAAGAGATGATTGTTTCTAATTTAAAAAAAAAAAAAAAAAAAAAAAAAAAAAAAAAAAAACACCAAAATTTCCCCACAAACTTCTAATTTAAAAAAAAAAAAAAAAAAAAAAAAAAAAAAACTCACAGTTCGCTACATAACTCTATCATAAAAGTAGTTCACAACTCATGCAACCCAATAACGGCTAACTTGTAACTTGTTCTAAACATATATCAAGAAGGAATATACTTTGTTGTAAACATATATCAAGAGAGAATATAGTAACTATTGTATGTGCTTAAAAAAAAAAAAAAAAAATTATTACTCTCATTATTTTATTTGTTTTTTAAGAATACTAACTGTTGATACCTAAGGTTTTAAGTAAACTAACTATTGCTTTCTTTGCTTCACAAGTTTCCATCTTTCACTTCAATTACACCTCCCTTGTTTTAAGGCAGCATTGTAATGTTTTCATTTAATTTTAAAAGCCAACTAAACCAAGTTATGCGTTATGAAAAATTATTAGGAACAACACAATAACACGTACGCTTACTTTTTTACATTTTTTGGGGAAGAAGAAGGCAGGAGATTCCTCAAATCCAGAACGTAATTAAACGAAATTGGGTTCTCGAATTCAGTTTCTCGCTCCTCCTCATCAACGCTCCTCTCAACCCCATTAATGCCCGAAGAATCCAAGTCCTCGGCACTATCGAAAACCGAGCCTTCATCATTGACTGCTTGTTGGAAGTAATCAGAGCGCATCTCTTCCAAAATACTCTTGTGTTCAGCATGAAGAATAGAGTCCAAACACCTTCAAATTCTCACACACAGAAATAAATAAATTCAAGAAAGAAAATTTTGAAAAATAAAGCAAAACCCACACACAAATTTAAGCTCTTACGACGATAAAAGAAGAAAGTCCTCTTCGTCATCATCCTGATCATCAACGGCAGACGCACGGAATATGTTCGACAAAATGCCGCTGAGAAGATCAGCCTTGGAAACCGATATGTATTTTTGCCTGGGCACTCGTATCTTAGAAATCCCTTTTCTCTCTTCGTCTTCTTCATTATCATCATCTCCTTCTTCTTCTTCTTCTTCTTCTCTCGGGATGCCACTCTTCTTCCCTTCTTTGTTTTTCATGTTGTCGTCGTCGTTGTTGATGTTGTTTAATAGCTTGTTGGTCTCTGTAATTGGCAGCTGAACGCCATCGTTTTGGAAGGTCGGAGGCTGCGTTGTCGACAGCTCTCGGAAGCAGGTGAGGGAGCAATGGCACCGACACTGCGACGACGACTGAAAGAGAGAGCGATTATGCTTTGGAGAAGTTACTGTTCTAAAAGCTCCTAAGTTTTGCAGACAACTAGAAGAACCAGAAGAAGAAGAGGCTAGCATTTTCAGATTCTTTACGATTGAATTGAAGAAGTTGGTGGTTTTTTTTTTCTTAAGTTTTCATTTTAATTTCTGTTTACCTCCTTTAAATAAAATTGTACGCAAATCTCGTATCTCCCAAAAATAAAAAAATAAAAAAATGTAAACCTCATTCGTAAGAGGAAAAAAAGAGAAAAAGAGTTTCACTGGATAAGGAATTGCCTGCGCTCATAGGCTGTTAATGGAGACGAGCCGCGATTTGATTGTATTTGTATGGCTACAAATGAATGCAGTAATGGCGTCGGAAAGTATATGTGTTGTTGGGCCCGCAAGCATTAAACGCGGAATAAATTCAAAAGCTCTTTCGACTCTAATCTCTCTTGAGCCTAAATTCGTCTATAAGTTTAAGCTCGTATGAGCCCAAAGTCTCCTCTAAATCAAAAGTTTAAAGGTCACGTGATGACATTAAGTGAAGTAATTGACTTGAAGATATTAAAGATTTATTTAATTTGTTAATTTAAATTTTTAATTTGAATTGAGATGTAATTTTATGTGAGAATTTTTTATTATAATAAAAAAGTTAGATGTAACTGTTTCTGAGAGTTTTTTTACTGTAACAAAATTCAAATTTTAAACTCGAATCTGTGAAATAAACGACGTCTAAATGATTAAAAATAATTCTCATTTATTATTTATCAATTTTAACTCATAAAAAGGTAAAAAGTTGTAATTAAGAGGATATATTCTCAAATTAATGAGAGAATTAAACGCCTTCAGTCTTAATATACTATAAATTCTCTCAATTTAAAAAGAAAAAAGACGCACTCAATTTTAAATACAATGTGATTGTCTTTATTTTGTTTTTATTACTCTTTTAAAAGTTTTTTGTATTCTTAGAGTGCTCTTTTAATTTTTTTGAATAATTTATATATTTAATCTAAATTATTAATCTATAGACGTTATATAAGTGTTAGATGAAATTTTACTCAAAACACGTGTATCGGCCAACAAACATATTAATGTATTGATTAATGACTAGAATCCATTGCATCTATGCCGCTAATAAATAGTATAAGATTCTTTTTTTTTTTTTTTAAATTCGGTACAGCCTAACAGGCAACCACTTTTATCTGTATTTAGATTCATGCCATAACTTATTTGTGGTGAAGATTTATGCCATAAGTTGTAATTTTCTTTTTCGGGAAATTGTGCCATCTTCAACCCCTACTTGCTAATCAAATGCTCTAAATTTCAGACCCTACTGGTAAGAACAAACAAAGCCTCCTACCATAGACATTCTTTTTAAATTATATTTCTCAAATGTGTCTAATTAAGGAAAAACCTGCTTAATTACTATTTTCTCATGACTATCTTTTCTCTAATTTTCCCTAGTTGAAGTAATACACATCTTTTCAATTTAAAAAAAAAAAAAAAAAAAAAAAAAAAAAAAAAAAAACTCTTCAAAACTTTAATTCACGTATCAAAAAATACAATAAACGGATATGCATGCGTGTAAAATGTATTTCCAACTAATTAATAATATTAGGAGTTGATATTATTAGTACTCATAGCATTTTAGTTTATACTCCCAATAAAATTTTGTATCCATTGTGATAAGGATGATTGATTTATTTAAATTTAAATAGTTTGTATTTAGCTTATCCCTGATATTGAGAGATTAGATTAGTCCTTATCTTTTAGTTTCAAGTTTGAATTTTTTTGAATTATTAACTATTAGGGGATAAGTCTTCATTTAATATTTGAATTAGATTAGAATTTTCTTTACTCATATATAAATATTGCATTCTTATCAATAGCTAACTTTTACCATTGTGTTTCAAAGTCTAAATCTATTATGATGGGGACATTTATGAAATTACTCATAATCATAAAGACTACCTCCTGTCCTAGAACGAAAGAGAGAATGGTTTAGCTCCCTTTTGATTCACTTGTTTAAATTTTATTGGTTTAAACTTTTTATTTGAATAGAAAAATTCAAACAGTGTAGTTTGAATTGAAGTTCGAATTGATGTTTAAATGTACAGTTAAAATTTTAATTTAAACATTGAATAAAATTTAAATTTGTGTTTAGTAGGTGTGAAAAGCATAAAAAGTAAGCACCTTTTTACTGTTAAAAGATGGTTTAAACGGTTGAACTTAAAGGAGATTAAGCACCTCGAATCTTTAATTTTTACAAACTGCACCCTGAACTTTAAAATCAGTTGTAATTGAGGCCTAATAGTAGATTGCGTCATCAAATTGACAGTTTGAGACATAAAATTTTCACGTGATATGATTTGAAAATTGACGATCCTCGTCTTTTATGTGCGAATCTCATGTATTAAACCATCAATTTGATAACAACGTTAACTATTGGATCTTAATTGTAAATGATTCTAAAGTTTAGGATGAAGTTTGCTTAAATTAAAAGTTTAGAATGTATTATGCAAAAACTAATAATTTAATGTGCACCGGCGCAATTTACTCTTTTATGAATATTACTGGCTAGAAAACTCAATGGTACTGATCACATAATTGGCCTTTTGGCTGAGTAATAACACGGAACCATGTGTTATAAATTCACAAACTTGTTAGAGCACTACTCAATATTATTCGTTTTATGATTAATACGCATCCAATTTTTTATTTTTCTTTTTTTAACTAGTTTTTATTTTTTTCTTAATCATTGTCAATATATACTTTTGTAAAAGTTGTTATTGTGAGACTGAGAAGACCACCCCAAAAAAAAAAAAAAAAAAAAAAAAAAAAAAAAAAAAAAAAGATTTTCTTTAAGCTAAAGAGAAAAATAAAAAAGAAAGGAGACATAACAAGGTTAGACTGTTACAACATATACTAGCGATCATCATTCCACATGTGACAGCATGAATGAAAAATACATAAAAACCAGAAACCAGTGGATATATAAATAGACTTAATTAATGCTTGGGACGCATTTTTTCATTGTCCTGGAGGAATAGCAACATCACCATGTCCCTTCTAACATTCAACTTTCATTCTCCAAAACATTGGATGTAGAGAAGTAGATCCCTTGTGTCCAAGTTGTTTTCTTGTTTTCTTTCAAGTCTCTTATAGGATCTACGTATTTAAAACAAAAATAATAATAATTGAATGGGGAGCTCCGAGCTTGGCAAGGGATAGGCCTCTTGTGTGTTGCCCACCTGGTTAAAATGCCATCATTTGTCTTGATACTAGTCGCTAGTTCTCTATATTTATTAATGACTTATTATGTAAAGCGATTTAAAAAATATGTTATATGAAATACGTACCGATCATGAGATGTAGAGCAAGAAAAGAAATCAAACACAAGAGCCCCCAAAACTTTATAACGTTTGTCAGTTGGCCGGTTGCATTAAGAATTGGCTTTTAACTCCTCATCTTTTTACGAACGTTATGTACGAACTCTAAAAGATATGGCCTATTTTAAATAATATATATATATATATTTGCAGATGACATGGTACTATATAAATATATATATATATATATATATAATGATAGATCTAGAGATCAAAGGCTTAAATAATCAAGTAGCTAGAGATCGATGCACGTGAAGAGAGGCATTCTAAGAATTCTAAATGAGAAAGGTATAAACACCACACATCCAATACTCAGCATAATTAGTCAAGTCTGAGAACAACGAGCAGTAGTGCTTATACATTAAATTGGTAGCCACAGCTCTATCTTACAGTGAAATTGCAGTGCGTATTACATAGTAGATCGGATAGAGATGGCGATATTATTTATTTATTTATTTATTTGAACATAAAATGAAAACACGCATAAAAACTTGTGTAATGTAAGAAAGCCAAGCCTAGCATGTTACAAATAGTACTAGTAGCCACCGTTCCACAACTCATGTTCCTTCCTTCCAGGTCTATAATCAGAGGAAAAAGTAGAAAACTGAACTAACTCAAATGACGACAGAAATGAAAAATACGTACATAAAACCAGAACTTGTAAACATAAAAGAAACATCACTAAAAAACAGTAGATAGAAACCAGAAGTAGCTCCTTATTGCTTGAGATATTCTAAGTGGAAGTTGGACATGGAGGAATAGCAACATCAGTAATCCCTTCTAACATCAACACCACACTTTTCATCGAAGGACGAAGGGCCGGTTCATCTTGGATGCACCACAAGGCCACCTTAACCACATTCTCCAAAGTCTTGTTATCCACTTCTTCACCATTCACGAGCTTCTTCAGCTCTCTAGCCGCAAAACACTTGCAGACCCAACTAGATAGAACAATCTCGTCTGCATCTGATACATTAGCATCGAAGTTCCTTCTGCAGCACACAATTTCCAGCAACACAATTCCGTAACTATAAACATCTGCCTTCACTGATATCGGAGTGTTCTTGTGCCATTCAGGGGCCATATATCCTCTTGTCCCTCTAATCACTGTGAAAGTTCTCGTTTGATCTGGCATTAACAACTTTGCTAGCCCGAAATCCGATATTTTAGCGCTCCAAACTTCGTCCATCAAAATGTTTTGAGGCTTTATGTCACAATGAATGATGGGGACCTTGCACTCCTCATGCAGATAAAGGATGCCTCTTGCAACATCTACGGCAATTCTGACCCTTTCTTCCCACCCTATGCCCATCGCGTTCTTAAAAAGGAGGTCTGCCAAGGAGCCATTGCTCATATATTCGTACACCAAAACCCTTCTTGAGCCCTCGGCACAATAACCGAACAACCGAACTAAGTTCTTGTGGTTCGTTCTTCCAATGGCTCGCATCTCAGCCCGGAACTCCCTTTCGCCTTCTTCCCCTAACTTTTCAAGCCTTTTCACCGCGACAAGCTTCTTGCCTTTGTTTAAGCTCCCTTTGTAAACTGCTCCGAATGATCCCTTCCCTAACTCTTCTTTGAAACCATTTGTTGCGCGTTTGAGTTCATTGTAGGAAAACACTCTCAAAGTAACTTCCTCCTGATGAGTCGTGTTCCCCAAAATTCCATCGTCTCTCAACTTCTTGTACCGCAGGACACGTATTTTGGCAAAGTAAAAACCAGAGATCACAAGGGCAACACAAGAGAGCACAATCGAGCATAAAGCTAGGACAATTATCTGTATCAAAACCTTTTTGTCGGTGGCGTCGTCTTTCGACCGTTTTTCTGTTGATCCGGTGTTTTCTGATCCCTTTCTCACCTTGAAGAAGGCTGTCTTTCTAGAATCAAAATCTCTCTTGACGTAGCTCAATGGAAGCTTTTGCTTCCTACAAACATACCTGTTGTAATTATCAATTCCATCGTGAATATCATTGAGCTCAAACATTGCTGCCTCACAATTGCAATCTTCCAAACAAGAGTTACTGCAATTTTCCTCCGTAGACATTTGGAGTTCCACATAAGGAGTAGCTTCCCAATTGATGGTCTCCGTTTTAATGATCTTATAGAATTTCACTTTCTCCTTCCCATCCGATTCACATTCGATCTTCGAGTAGTTTCTCAAGCAACCGAGAGACCACCTATCCGGGTCAGCATACTCTGTTCCTGGAAGGCAAACGCAGTTTGGTTGTACATCGTTGAGTGTGCAGTAGCTATTGAGGCCACAACGGCCTTTCACTTCACAAGGATTTCGCAACGCAGACCACACTTCGAAAACATCTTGAGGGTCTTTCTTTTTTTTATTGACCAGATGAGAATACAACTTGAAATTCCCATCAGCATTAACAGTTGCACGATATATGACAGTGCCGTTGACCACCTTATCCTTGCTCAGAGATGACTCATCATTCAAGTAGGAGTAGTCAAGAAGCTCGGAAGTATTCGTAGTTTCAACGAGGGATAGAAGGCCAGTGGAATTAAGGTAAAGGTTGAGATTGTCTTTAGGGGGCCAGGTATTAGTGGCCCAGTAAGCATCTTCAGACGAATCCTCGGTGTTTGCTGGGTACAAGACAAGATTACCATCAGCCTGCATCCAGAGATGATACCTTCCCGTCGAATGGTTTGTGTCGGATACACTTGAGAACAACTGACCCAATGTGGGTAGTACCTGACCTTGCAAGATTGTGTCTGTAGGATGATTGAAACTCTCCCAAATGATGTCGGAAGTGCTGTTTCGGAGAACAAAGTTGCCGGAATCGAGCATAGAAGCGGAGGAAGCGGAACTTGTTGTGTTAGCAATTACACGTTTCTCCTCTCCTTTACCACTTCTCAAGAGAAGCTTACCGGAACTGGTCGTGAACACCAGCTCTGCATTTGAATTGACCGGAGGGTCATCTCTATTTGCTGTCCACACCACCGTTCTTTCGTCGGCACCCACCAGCCATATTCCAATGGCAAAGCCGTGCTGTTCCTCATAAAAGCCGAATTCGAAGTTTCCTGAAGGAGAAGGCCAAGAGGACTTATGAGTACTAATCATCGGGGATAGTGAGGAGCCGGGGAGTATGAGCTTATCTTTGCTCGAAGCTGCTTTCTTGGTTTGTGTTGCACTTTCACCAATGAGAGACGTCAACGATATGGAAAGGACTATCAGCAGAAAAATAAAAGTCGCGGAAGCCATGAATAACAAGCTATATATCTTCAGATAAACTTAATGCAGAAAAAGATCACAATATTACAACAAGGTATGAACTGCGAAATCATAAAACTTCGTAGAGTAGTAATGGTGCATTATATGAATCCTTTGTGTAGTCATCTTTTTTCTTTTTCTCCCGATTCTTATGTTTTAGGAAAAAAAAAAAAAAAAAAAAAAAAAAAAAAAAAAAAAAAAAAA